CGTGATTCTGCAATCTGCATTTGGGGTAAAATTGGGAGTTCATAACCCACTTCAATCTAATGTATGAAATATGATATGTCAAGAGCTTTTTAATGTTGTGAACAACCAATAAAAAAAAAAAAGATTACCATCTTGACATTTTTGAGGTCTGGGGACAGTAATACCAAAGCATCTCATACCAGCTATTGAGCCTAGGTTTCTTTTCCAACCTGTTTTATAAGTAAGATGACTTTATCAATTATACTCCCAAATATTTGCCTAGGGATATTTGCATTGTAGAAACTAGAGAGAAGGATGGGCTATAATATTATAGTCTTCCTGATATTTTAGATGACTAAATTTCAGTTTCTTAAGAATAAATCTAAGATAATGGAGTTAAAGTGGCCCTTCTTGAGTAGCACAATATTGGCAGCCTAGATATTCACACCAGTTGTTTTGAAGACTATATATGATGTAAATAAGTAAATTCAAAACACTAAAGACACTATAGGATAATGAAAAGGAAAAGTAAATTGAATTTGAGACGGAAGTAACTTTGGTCTAATAAGATCATACTAGGATAAAACCAATAACTATTATTCTTTCTATGCATTTTTTTTCACTTCTCAAAATGTGAAGCAATAAAATTTCTGGTGCTTTCATTATTTATTTATCACAAATTTTATTAATTTATATCAAATCTACTTCCAAAAATATTTAAGGAGCTATTAAATATAAATAGAAACAAATAAGAATATGAAACCAAAAACATTTCAGGGAGATATGCATGAGCTATATATATGTATTTGGGGTAAAAATGGGAGTTCATAACTCACTTGAAACTATTGTTCGAAGTATGATATGTCAAGAGCTTTGTAATGTTGTGAACAACCAATAAAAAAAAAAAAAGATTATCACTGTTGTGTGTTAAATTAAACTCTGGGCATCTTTGAAGTTAGGATTGATTAAAAAATTAAAGACAGAAGTTCTAGAAAATATAAACATAAGAAAGATATTGTTTATCTTCCAAGATCTTATAAGCAATGAGAAAGCAATACAAAAAAATAGTAAATTTATACCATAAAATCAAAGACAGAGGTAAGAGCTCGTTCTTGGAAAGGGGCAAAGATACATAAACCCAATAGAAAAATGATTGGTAAATCTGTAGTCATGTTTGAAGGGTGAGAGAGGAGTTAAGAGACAATGCATTTCAAAAGACTTTTATCTTCTCACTAACTAGTAAATGAAGTTTTCTGTTGCTGTTGGAAGTGAAATAATTAATCTCAGGGTCAGTTGAAGAGGTTTATAAGGGCATCAGAAAGAACACAATAGAAAACAGAGGGTTTTTTATTACACCTATCACTAAAAGTAGCCTGTCAATAAATAAAAAATAAAGACATCTGCTTTGCCTCTCAAAATATTACCAGAACATTCTCTAATGATCTTTTAGATCAGAGACTATTTGGTAGGCCAAGCAATTTCTATTAGCAATTCTGTGTAGACAGTTTTGTTTATTAAATATACATTAGAGGAAATGATTTTTCTCCCTTTAGAGTGTAGACTGTAGGCACTGCAGACTGATTCTTTTAAATATATGGAAACTAGCTATGTTTATTTTATGAGTTAGGAAGTCTCATAACTCTCAGCACCCATATCCAATTTGTATCTCTAAAATGACTTTTTATAAACCAGAATAAACATATCATCTCTTTTCTGCAAACCAAAGCTATTTATCCAGAACAAACGAATGTATTTGAACATGTTAATTTAGTGTGGTTTTAAAATACATGGATGAGTTATGCACATAAAGCATTCATCTGTCAATTAAAAAATATGGAAAGTTGTACACTCCAGCTCAATTGCTTTTTTTTATGTCTGCTTTTTAAGAGTCTTATCAGTAATCAGAGTCAAAATCTATAGAAATACTTTTTTCCCCTTTTGAATCAAAAGTGAAGTCTCTGGAGTCTATCTGGAGCTGGGAAATGGGTGCTGTTGTTAAATGATCAGGACTTGGGACTTCTTTGAATTTGATCTGCACAATTCAAAGTCAAGTTACAAAGAGTGGGAGAGGTAAACACATTACATAATACTCAGATATTTTATATTGGGATGTAATTGTTTGGACAATTTTTCTTAGTTTGTAGAACATACAAATGAAAATAAAAATAGGAATTAGCCTACCTATCAATTTAAGAAACTATAAAATATTAGGAAACAGTATATCCATGCAAACACTAAAACTTTAGAAGATCTATATGTGATAAAATGGAAGATAATTACCAAATACTATGTTAAAAACAAGTTTCATAGTGCTGGACAGTAAAATCTTGTTTTATGTTTTGAACCATCAAATGTTAAACATATGCATATGAATTTACAGAGAAAACAAAAATAATTTGAAGAGTATGCAACAAACATTAGTTACTTCCCAGAAATGAAATTGAGAGGTTCAAAACATTTACATTTTATTATATAGATATTTACATCATTTAAATTTTTGTGTAAACTTGCAATTTTTAAAAAATACAAATTTTTAGTAGAAAAAATTTACCAAACTAAGTATATAAAACTGTTTTTATATATGGTAATTTCTATATAGAATTTGTAAATATTTTATTTTGTTATATTTATTGAATAAATGATAATTCTCTTCTTCTGTTATCTTCATTTAGATGTATCCAATTTTTAATGTACAATTGCTTCTAGTTATGCATTTGTTTTTGCTACAACTTCAAACTTTCTACTTAGAAAGAGTAGATAATCAAGTTAAAAAGCTTCTTAGTCTAGGGGCTGGGGATGTGGCTCAGTAGTAAAGCACTTGCCTAGCATGTGTGAGGCCCTAAGATTAATCCCCAGCACCAACACCAATAAATAAATAAATAAATAAATAAATAAATAAATAAATAAATAAATAAATAAATAAAAAGAAGAAGAAAAGAAAAGAGAGAAAGTATCTCAGTCTTGCAATTGATAGGTCTTGCAAGATAAGGACTAGCAGCATCTGGTAGTTTGGTAAAAGTGTAAAATCTCAGGCCCTTCTAGACTTACTGCATTTGAACAAGATCCCAGAGGACTTATATCCCCTTTAGATTGAGAATCACTATTCCAGAGGCCTGATCTTTAGTCTATCATTCCATAACAATAATTTGTTTTTATTTAGATCATATGTTTACAAGGAGCCTTGAGATGTGGGCCAGGGATGGTTAAGGAGATAAAACCTTTGATTCATCTCCACATCACCTTTCCAAGTTTCATGCCTCCAACCAGTTCCTTTATGTGAAATCATTTCCAAGAAAGGTAAGAGTCCCTGAGATCAAAAATCTTCAGAGTTTATAACCCTACACATGGTCAGATGGAAAACAGCATGATCCTTTATGGTTTCTGACACTTGAATTGAAAGAGGTTATTAAAAGATATGCTACACATGAAATTCGTCATTTCTATAAATATTTATTTATTCACATTGAAGAGAAAGGTCAGAAAGTGAAAGTCAGGGTGAAATGAAATATGGTTAGAGTGAAATCTTAAGCATTTCTGGGCTATGAAACGTAAAAAGAAAAAAGGCACACAAAAGTACTATTTTCTCAGTATATGCCAAGTAAGAAACACAGTCAAATAAAATTAAAAACAAGGACATTTAAAAATAGTTATTGGCACTGTCATTTCATTTATTCTTTTTCAGTTGATTAATGTCCGGCCATATTTTAAAAATGTAAATAGTACTGTCTATCAATTTAGACACTTGATAAAAGCTTTTGGGATAAGAAAGAATAAATACAAGCCTTTTTGAAGTATAGAAAATTCCATTTCCTGTAGTGTTACAGATTAGATATCCTGAAAATTCTTCTCAACAAAACAAATAGAAATTCTGAGTAAAATATAAGATATGCACTTTTAAATTTAAAGCCATTCCAGTAAAACATAAATGAAACTCCCAAGGTCTTAAGGTGAAGAGTTCATTGAAAACCAAACTAGTAGGCACAAGAACTGACCCTCAGGAGATCAGCCACGGGGAAGCTGTTGTCTCAATAACCTAAGCTTGGGTTTTGATAGACATAGGAGAATACTTAACAAATATACAAATCAAAACTTGAAATTGATGTCTACACACAAAATCAGAACATGCAAAATGTTATATGCTTAACCAAAATGTCAAATTAAAAAAATGCATGCACTGGCACAAAAGAGGACAGTATAAAGTTCATATGTAGATCCCTAAGCTTTGGGTGTGTTGGGGATTAGTTGTCTGTAAGACTTCATAATCTTGAGGCAAAAGTCACATTTAATTGAAGCTCAGTTTTAACTACTTACATTTTTTTTAAATACTTGCCATTATAATAAAGTGTTCTTGGGTTAAAGATACCCCTTAGAGTCTGGCCAAAGTAAATTAAAATCCTCTCTTGAGAAATTCTCTCTTACACAGGTCCCCTAAGTTTCTACAAATAAATTCCTCTGACAATATGAGTTAGTCAAGAATAGATATAACACTGAATGCAGCTATTAGGTACAGATAATTAAGTATATTTTAAATGATCAGAGACTTAGAACAAGAATAAGTTACAATGAAAAAATAATAAATAGCTAAGGGAAAACCAAATAGAATACATAATACTGAAATCATAATTCATAAAATCAAAAAAGCTTCAATGGATGAATTAAATATCAGTTTAGCCATAGCCAAGGAGAGAATTAGTGACCCAGAAGAGATTATTCAAAACATACTCCTAGAAAAATGAAGTAAAGAAAATATGAAGAAATGGTTAAGATTCTAACATAATTCTAATTTGAATTACAGAGAAAGAGAATGGAGAGAATGTGAGTATTTGGCTCAGAAAATGATACTCTAAAATAGGAGATGCTGGGTACATTGAATTAAAGGAAGGGGGGAGGCCTTAGAGGCTCCCTTAGAATCATGTCCTTTCTTGTTTCTGACCACCAAGCACAGGCAGAGGATTTGCTCTGAAGTTACTTTATCTACTTAAAGAAGAGACCCAACTGAAAGATAATTGTTTTTGATCTCCTCCCCGAAGTTAACTACGGAAGATTAAACTCATAAATCAGAAGGGAAGCCTGAGGCATGTCACCACACACTAACAGAATTTGGTCTTCAATACAAATCCTGCTTCCAGACAGAATCATTTACAAACTAACTTCTACACTTTGGGCCCACTCATTTCTCATGAAAATCATTTACTCCACCTCGAAAGTGCTTGCAGTCCCTACTCCACTTTGCCTTATGAAGAGGGTATTTAAGCTTCAATCATCTGGCCTTTCTCTGAGTTGGTTATTGTATGATTACCCTATACATGGGCACAGTAATAAATTTCTAGGCTTTTATTTCTTGGTCCTTCTATCTTCAATTTGTTTCAGCAGACTCAATTATTAAAACTTCACAGGGAAAACAAATTTCTCTATAAGGGAAAGATAATACTCTTAAAAATAATGCTTAAAATTTTTTTTCAAATTGAGGAATAACATTTATGACCCAAAGAGGACATACATAAAACTTAGACACCTATATATATATATCATACTACAACTAGAATTTCAAATTATGGAAAATATTTTAAAAGGAAGAATTCAAATTATTATAAAAGGAAATTAAAAAAAAAACAGACTTTTCCAGGCAGAAAAGTATCTTTAGAGAGTTGAGAGAACAGAGCTTCAAAATATCATTTTATACCCTGCTAAAATATATTTCTTAGGAGTGAGAACAAAATGAATTCAAATAATCAAATCCTGAATTTGCCACTAACAGTTTCCTGTTTAACTTCTTGCTTACAGAGTAATAAATGTTTTACATTTTAGATAGAAGAAACATGAACCTAGAAGAATGAAAGCACAGAAAGACAACATGCTAATTATAGTAATGATATAAAATATTATGGTAATCTCTAACATTGGATATGTAAATACCCCAAAATAAGTTTTTGTTAAGTTAAACAGCTATAGCTCACAAGAAGGAAAATATTAATCAATGTTAAGTATTCTATGGTCTTTGTGTTCTTCTAAAGAAAAATAAAGATTCCGATAATCTTTAAACAGCTTAAACTTCATATCAGAAAAAAATTGTAATAAAATATTAAGACAAATGATTCAAATAATAGGAAAATGTAAAACAACTAAATCCGTCCAAAGAAAAAATCAGAATAAAGAAGACTTCAATACAAAAAACATAAAGAAACGGGGAAAGGTGCAAACAGAAATACAAAATAACACAGGGAGAAAATCCTCTTCATATCTTGGAGATACAAATTAAGATAAAAATTGCATCATAGAACTATATCCAACTACCTACATCTACCCTTGTATACCCATTCCAATATATGGGGAAGAAGGTGGCACCTTATATCACATTTAATTGACCTCAAACCTAGAGTCTTTTGACTGCACACAGTATTTTTGATTCTCAATAATTTAAATAAAATCATATTTTATTGGAATTACATAATGTAGTTCAGCAAATTAAAAAATAAAAGATTTAAAATACTCATTGTTAGAAAAGACAGAAATCAATGTTAGAGCCATACAACCAAAATGAATAAATGCCAGAAAGTACCATGTTTCACTTTCCTTGGGCTCTTAATTACCGGTGTGATTGTCCCAGCACAGACAATCACACAACTTAATAGAGGCACCAAGAAAACATACATCTCAGAACATTGGGAGAGATGAGCAGAGTTTCCCAAAGGAAAATCAGGATGCTATATTAAAGAAAGGAAAAATAAATACTATGTTCCCCTCCCCTCCAATAATTTGACTGAATTTGCTGACACTCTGTCAACAATAATTCTGTTACAACATGTAACTCAAGAGATACATTTCTTAAAAATCTTCTCCTCAGCAATTAAGCCAGTGATCACAATCCAAATGACTACTGGAAGGAAACAAGTGAAATAGTATTGGAATGTGATGATAGATTGGAATTAATTCTCCATGCCAGGAAAACTATTGAGGAATAGTTGTAACTCAGCTCCAACTGATTGTCACCAGGCAAAACTGCCCTTTAGTTGGAGGCAGATCTTTTTCAAGAAACCACAAGTCAGGATTATTCAAAACTGTAAGATTTTTAAATATTGCCAACTGATTCAATTTCTATAATACTGTAAGAATCAACAACAGGCAGATTGATCTGCTTTTTGTATACATGTAACATGCACTTATGTATATACTTATACTAACAACATTCCTCACCAGAATGGTACATTTATTGTAATTGATGAACCTATATTGATACATCCTTACCACCTAAAGTTTATAGTTCACATTAGGATTTATTCTTGGTATTGTACATTATATGAATTGGGACAAAAATATAAAGACATGTTTCTATCATTATAGTTTCATGCAGAGTAATTCCACTGCCCTAAATATTTCCTTTACTCTATCTATTCACATCTCCCCTCTACATCTCCTGGAAACCTTTGATTCTTTTACTGTTCCCATAGTTTTTCCTTTTCTAGAAAGTCATAGCTGAAACTACATGTGTATACCTTTTCAGACTGCTTCCTTATTAATATGCATTCAAGATTTCTCCATTTTTATGTCTTGATAGATTATTTCATTTTAATTTTAAATAATATTTCAACTATCTACATATGGTACAGTTTATTCACTCACCTACTAAAGAACAACTTGTTTACTTCTAAGTTTTGACAATTATAAAACTGCTATAAACACCTGTGTGAAGGCTTTATTGTGGACATAATTTTCAACTCATTTGGATAAATAACAAAAACTGTGATTGTAGAATCCTATGGTAAATATCTATTAGATTTTGTAAAAAGTTGCCACACTGTCTTCCAGAGTAACTGTACTATTTTACATTCTCATTAGCAATGAGTGGGAATGCCTGTTGCTTCACAGCCTCATCCACATTTGGTGCTTAGAGTGGTTACAATTTTGTCCATTTGAAAGGTATGTAGAGGTACAGTTTTGATTTGTAATTCCAGAATGACATATGATTCATCTTTTCACCTACTATTTGCCATGTGTGTATCTTATTTATTAAGTTCAAGACCTTTTACCCATTTTATTGAGTTTTAAGAGGGATTTTTTGTATACTTTGAATAATAGTTGTTTATTATATATGTCTTTAGCAAATATGTTATCCTAGTCTATGGCTTGTCTTCTGTTGATCTTCATTTCTTTTTGAAGATCAATGTTTCTTCTACTGAACCACATAATCAGCTATCTAATCATTTGAAATGTCAAAGGTATATGGGATATAGCTCAGGGATAGCATATATGCTTAGCATACACCAATCTTGGCTTCAATCTTCAGTACCTTCAAAAAATGTAACATTCTTATCTGTTGACAAATATTAAGTAAAGACTATGGTATTTCCTTATATTTTCATAATGTTTATCATAATTCTTATTAAACTGATTGTTATAGAAACTATTATGCTTTTAAAAATGATGTTATCTGAGCTATCAGTCTTAGACATGTTTTAAGCAATAAATAAAAAGTGCTTTTAAAATTCTCCAAATCATAAAGTGATCAGTTACTCCTGTTCTGAATTTTAATTTATGATTTCCAATGTGTGTTAAGCCAACAACTACCTAGGGGAAATATTCAAAACCAAAATCAAACAGGAAAAGAACTAGGCATTTAGAGCTTTGCAGACATTGATTTCTTTCAGTTGATTCAAAAACAAAATATATGTACAAATAGCATTTAAAGACTATCTAGAAAGATTGAAACTGATTGTCACACTGCTAGACTGAAAGATTCAATGGTTATTTGGAAATTCTGTATAGAACTGGTTATTCCGCTCCAGTGAATCACAGGGAGATTTCAAGCTTCATTACTTTCTGTGCTTGTATAAATAGTCGTGAGAAGACCCCCCTCCACTGACCTTCATTGTAGACGTGCACTTGATGAAGTTTCTGGGCTGCTTCCCCTTATTATCTTTATCTTACATCTTTTTATACACCTTTGCCTTTAGCACCACATAGAACAAAACATGCCCAGTACTTTGGATAGATTTTCCTCTAAGGAAAATAACTCTCTATAATTTCTTTTTAAGTAAGATGGTAGTCGGGGCTCTGACTTGAGCTAGACTCCTGAAAATAGAGAAGTGTAAGATTTTGAACATGAGAAAAAAGAGACTGGTTTGAAAAATTTCAAGAAAGGAAAGGAAAGCAAAGAAGATTTGAAATATCAGGTCCAACAAAGATGGGTGAAAACAGCACAAAAGTATGAAGTAAACAGAGGTAGGAGCATATGAAAACTAAATAGGAGAAGCTCTTTCAGAAGTGATGAATAAAAGAAAAATGATTTTTTTTTGCATCTTGATTTCTGGTCAGTGATGAAGATTTCCATGTACAACCAATAATCAAGAATTAGTTCACCAAATGCATGCTCTTGTCCATACCCAAAATGTATTATTCAGATTTTTTTCCCTCCCTGCTGACTGTGAATTTCTTAAAGATAAATGGAGAAGATAAAAGAAAAAGAAAAAATATCTTTGTACATAAAACTCTTCTCCAAATATAGAGCACAAATAAGTAGCTAACCATAATTTTTCATGTTTCTTTTTAAACTTTTATTTTGAAAATTGTTTTTACTCTAGAACTGTCTTATTCAGAAATGATATAGCATTGTTTTAAAAATTTTATGTAATGTTTGAACTTTAACTAGGACATGAAATTTCTGTAAAGGGAAAATAATTTGAATTTAATTTATTTGCCTTTCAAATAAATGGCAGTGGAATTACCCTTGAAATCACAGGAACTGTAACATTTACACACAGAAATAGTAACCTGTCACGGAACTGAGGCAGAAGGAAATAGTAGCATGAGGCGCAACTCATTTTCAAACTGTGCAATTTCAATGTAAGTAATTAAAATTAATATAATTGAAATTGTCTCTGCACCATGGTTCAATTAGGTCATTTGAATATTGTACCAGGAAAAAAAAAACTAAAATCATTTTAAGCAAAACAGAACACCTAATTATTGCTTTTCATCTAAGTCAGGTATCATCTCAAATCCTAACAGAGCAGGAGATAGTGTTTGTGATCCACAGTGCCCTTTGCTTTAGGCTGTTCTTGCTTTAGAAATTAACTAAAGTGTTACTTACTTCCAGTAAGAAATGCTCTTCATCGCCATTTCTTCCCACCTAAAACGTGTGTGGGAGCCTTGATATACTCTTTCGATGTAAACAAATCTGTTGCCTTGTAGTACTTCCTGTGATCATGAATAATGGTGTATGTACACGTGTACTGTTCATCTTACCCATTAGAATATATAATCTACGAGATCAGGAATTGTTACTGTTATTTTGGTAGTCATAATGACAAAAATAATATGTGGAATAGAATGAATATTAA